GAAAAAATTAAGGGATAAAAAAAAATCTAAATTTTCGGCGATTTTTCAAATGGCTGTATCTTTGATAAAAATGGTCGTATTGGCGTAAAAAAAAGCAATTTTAAGCTTGAAGTTTCTAATTTTTGGATCTTGCAAAAAAAAAATTTTTAAGTAACACGTACCGCTCAATTTTACTGAATATCATGAAAAAAAATTATTCGAAATTTTTTCGATCTTATTTTTGGTGTACGGACTTGAAAAAAATTGTTCCAACTTAACCATAGGTTGTTCATTTAGCTTCAATTTCTTTTTTTTGTCTCGATACGACCATTTCTCGCTGAGCTATCGGACTTTGAATGAAAATGGATCATTTTCTCTTTGTTCATCGATATCTCAGAAACCAATGGTTGCACAGAAACTTGAATGAATTCTCTACAAGGTCCTGGCACGGTTTTTTAGAAAAAAATTTTTTTATCCTTAACATGACTGAAAATCGTAAACAATAGGACTTTTAGGGGTCTTCTAGAAAATCACGTGCCACATTGAGAATATTGGGAAAATGACTAATGTTAAGTGTGCCTTTTACAGGTCTTTGTACCCCTAAAAGCCCTACAGAGTTTCAATTCGATCCATCAAGCCGTTCTTTTGTTTCATTCGATTGAATATTAAAAAAAATCACGTTTCTTGCTCATAATCTGTAAAAAAACGAAAAAAAAAATTTTTTCCTGATTTTTTTTATATTGTTATTGCAGAAAGCGTTTGAAATTATGAAAAAAAAAAAATTTGAAAAATTTTTTCGAAAAAAATTTTGTTGAACCGATTTTCAGAAATTTCGCAAAACCACTGGCATTAGCGATATCCAAAGCGTACCACGTGGAGGTTGCACGGACGGATTTACGCTTCTTTTACACACGTGCGAAAAGCGTTTGAAGTTATGACAAAAAAAAATTTTTTTTTAATTTTTTTGAAAAATGTTTTCGTTGGATTCACTCCAGAAAATTTATCTCAGTAATCCCCAAGCATTTTCGACACGATTCTCCTACTTCATTTCGTGATTATGTTGAAAGAATTTTAATTAAATTTAAAAAAGTTGATACCCCTAACCGAATATTGACCTCGATCTATACCCTTTTCAGAGATTATTGCTGCGATACTTCTGAATTCATAAAACGCTTTTTCCGAACTTACAGAAAACTAAAACAAACAGTTTTTTTCAAACCACCTTTTTTCAGTAGAAAAAAAATTTGAATAAAAAAAATATATATTTTTTTATTTAAATTTTTTTTTCATTTTTTTACATATTATGAGCATTTAAAGCAAAAAAACGTGATCCTTTAATTTTTTTAAAAATTCAATCGAATGAAACAAAAAAAACGGATGGATCGAATTGAAACTCTGTAGAGCTTTTAGGGGTACAATGACCTGTAGAAGGCACACTTAACATTAGTCATTATCCCAATATTCTCAATGTGGCACGTCATTTTCTAGAAGACCCCTAAAAGTCCTATTTTTTACGATTTTTCAGTCATGTTAATGATAAAAAACCGTGCCAGGACCTTGTAGAGGATTCATTCAAGTTTCTGAAACCCACTGTCGATTTTCTGTGCAACCATTGGTTTCTGAGATATCGATGAACAAAGAGAAAATGATCCATTTTCATTCAAAGTTCGATAGCTCAGCGAGAAATAGTCGTATCGAGACAAAAAAAAAAGAAGTTGAAGCTAATTGAACAACCTATGGTTAAGTTGGAAAAATTTTTTCAAGTTCGTACACCAAAAATAAGATCGAAAAAAATTTCGAAAAATTTTTTTTCATGATATTCGTTAAGATTCCGCGATACATGTTATTTGAAAATTTTTTTTTTGCAAGATCCAAAAATTAGAAACTTCAAGCTTCAAATTGCTTTGCTCCAATATGACCATTTTTACCATGAAAAATCGCCGAAAATTTAGAATTTTTTCCACTAGTTTATCATGTTTTTTTATCTAGCAACTCGCTCAGCAACCTATGCGAAATGAGATTCCTTACAAAATATACTTGTTTATGATTAAATTTACCGGAATATTAAATCAAGATGTTATATTACAAAGCACTTTAACAGCTGTCAAATTGCTTTAGCCACCATTTGAATTGCATTTGTAAATGTTTGTGTTTTTTTTAGAAAGCTTATTTAATTTCTGGGGACTGAGAGTCACATTTTATGAAATCAGGGACTGGACAATATGTTTAATCCGCGGAGTGAAGAAAAAGTCATGGCTTTCTATACAGCTATCTGCGTGATGACTAATTACAAAGTAACATGTTCCTCTGGCGCTTCCATTATTTAATTGCCACGGAGTGTGTGTGATACATATATTTCACTGCTCGAAACACCCCTGTGTTATTACAGACTTGTAACTAACTCGCAAATTTTCCAATTTCTGCAAAGTGTAATCATGTTTTTCAAAGTTTGATTAGTTCTTTAACCATCCTATTTCATCACATATATTACAGTAATTAAATTCCATATTGAATGTTGTGGGGCGCTCGAAACGGTGTATAGGACGTTTAGTTTCCCGGAAAGAAATTTGTGCCCTAGGCTATGGCCAAGCGATATGAACTTTGATATTGGGTTAAAACCAATCCTAAGCAGAATTTGTGTAGGCCATCTTGGGGTTTCGCCTGGGGTCACTAATCTCTTCCTGGATTATCTCCTTTATCCTAAGTAAATTTTATGCCTTGGTGCCTGCTCATGTTTTATTTATTTTTGTATTTTTTTAGTTATCCTCCTTACTTCGGAATACACAAGAATATATAGGGTGCTCTTAAATTGCTTCCCTACATTTTCTGGACACAAAAAGTAAGGTACCTTTTATATAATTTGTATTTCTAACATGGATTATCACAGCGACATAAAGGTGATTTAGGGAAGGTGGTACATGTTGAAATGCACACACTGTATTTCAGGACACGACAACCGAGTAATAGTAGAGAAAAATTCATGAAATTTTAGTGTAGACTATAAGAAAGACATAAATCACTTTTAAAGTAAAATAAAAATCTCATTTCATAGTTATTTCATATCAAAATTAAAATAGTATCATTCAAAATTTAACTAATACATTTTAATAGAGAAGCATGTCAAAAAGATAAAGTTTAGGATCGAAGTGGAAGCATGAAAGAAAAAGAAAAATGCCACAAGAAAGGCCAATTTAACAATTTTACAATTAAATAAACGTTAAATAATTTAGTACAAAAGAAAATTCAAATATTATAGTATCAGAAAATCACATAGGCTAGAAGTTTATTATAAAAATTGTCATGCAGAATGTTATATAAAAATTCTTGTAAACTAGTTTTAAGATGTAAAAAATTTACTACGCAGCTACAAAATACAAATTACGCCGTAATTTAATTAAAATAAAATACATCGCAATATGTTGGAGAGAAAGTGCGCAGTTAGAAAACAATATCTCATGGATACAAGTGACCAATAACAAAAGGACAAATCAGAAATTTTACCTTCTAACGGAAAACAAGACAGCATCGTTGGAAAGTAAACAAGTGGGAAGAGAGACAGGTTGGTCCCAGACACAGGTGAGGGGTGCATGTTATCCTGTAGCTCCCCAAATAACATCGTAGAACACCAAGAAGCAACCAACTCAGACACAAAAACCATCTACAACAGACGAGAACAGCTGTCAAACCACCACTAAAAGCGAAGTTAGAGTGAAGATTGAACATTCCAAAGCAGAGATAATGGAAAATGTACGTCCAGTTGCTTAAGCATACTCTCCAAAACCTAAATTAAAGTGTTTGCGAATTCGAAGTAAAAACATTTTGTGAAATCGAAGACTTCATTTCAAGCCATAGACAATGTCAGTGGATAGAAATTAAAAATCATAATTTTGAACATTTCATAATATAAGGATTAGTTTAGTTTCTGTGTTCTTAATTTAAATTAATTTGTTCCGTAATACATTAAAACAGTACTAATTGGTTAACCAAACATTTTCTAAATCATGTTAGGTAGAGTTAAGAAATTTATCAGTTATTTAGTCATGTAAAAGTCCATAACAAATCTAGTTTCTGTGTTTCTTAAAATATTGTTCGGAATTTAAAGATGAATAATTAATAAATGTCATATTGTGAAATTCGTTAAAATTTTGCTTTCATTCAGTGCTTCTTACTCAAATCAATAGTAATAGTAAATTTGAATAATATTGAACCGCTTCTCTGAGATAAGAACTCATGCTAGTATTCTGAATAAGTGTTTTTTGAGGGACAGTGTGTCATTGATTACTACACTGTAATAAAATGTACACTGTTAATATTATTTATGCCAGATAAAGCTGCCGGAGGAGAGATAAGCAAAACCAAGGTAAGAAAGTACAATTCGTTGAAATTTGTCATTGTTATTGTTTAATTTTATCATGAGAACCTGCATCCAATAAAAAATTTGATTTCAACACACACAACTTACATTCTACACAGCAAAAGGCGCCCAAACGAATATTTAATCATTACACATTACAAAAATCATATACTATACTACATAACAAAATACACTAAAATTAAATTACACACACAAAAAATTACACAAAATTAAAAATAAATATTAAAATAATAATATGTATATTTTTACAATATCTTAAAAATCTTTCTATTTACAGGGTGGTCCGTAAGTAATGGTCCATGAGACATACTAGATTTTTTACTTTAAAATATTACGATTTAAGCTAGCAAGCCTTAATAAAATGTTGATAATAAAAAATACAGGGTACACTGCCGGCCCTTTGAAAGTGGACGATTTATTTTTCTAATGTGATGTGGTCTACTTCTTATTATGACAAGTTTTTATATGTCACTGTCATTAGTAATTTGCTTGGTAATTCAAGTTGCCGCGTTTCACGGAACTAGAGAAAGTGAGAGCTATACCTTTACTTCAAAATGATTGATCATTGCGGATGATCTGCATGTATGCAAGAACAGCATATTTAAACTCAAAGAAAAATGGATTGCGGAAGGTCACGTACGTTATGTTCACGGAGGTGGACGTCGAAAAGTAAGCACCACCTAAGAATAAATCCTTTTGACATGGCAGTAGCGGCTTCCTTTGAGACGAATTTTCCTGGATCAGTGCGAACTGCAAGGAAGCGGGTGAAAGATTCGGAGCTGAAGAATTATGTGGCCGCAAATACAGTTGCTTTGACTCCCCAGTATAAAGAACAGAGGTTAGAGTTTGCAAGACAATTTGTAGGAAGCCCAGACAACTTCTGGGAGAATATTATATTTTCGGACGAAAAAAGTTTTCAGTCTTGCTCCGATGCTTCTGTCCGTGTCTACCCACCAGAGATTATAAGGTATTCGGAGCCTTATGTGAAACCCACACAGCGCAGCGATAGATTCTCCATTAACGTTTGGGCTTGGATAAGCTGCCAAAGTCCTGATGTTTGTTGTGACCATGCTGTATCCTCAGAATTTCACTTTCAAGCAGGATAATTGTGCAATTCACACCTCAAGAGTTGCGTCAGAATGGTTCATTGATAACAACATCGATGTTTTACCTTGGCCCTCAAAGTCCTGGGGATATATGGTGAAAAAAATTTACGACAGAAACTTCCGTCCAGTTAACGTCGAAGAACTTTGGGAGGCAATTGAAAACGCATGGGATAACATCACTGAGGATTATAACAAGAACATTAATTTTATCAATGCCATGTAGATTGCAGTGTTATAGACAAAAATGGTGCTTGGACAAAATACTAACTTTACGAATCGCGTTTTTTTGACGACGAAAAGTGTTTCATTTTTAGATCTCGTTGACGGCGAATGAATGGCCGTTAGAATGTATAATATATTTCAGTATTGGAAAAATAAATAATTTGCTACCTAATTTGGATTTGTTTTGCTGACTAGAACTAGTATGATAGACACACATTAAATTTGACATAATGACAGCCGATATGAACCTCACATTTTCAAGTCAGCTTCACAAAGGCCAATTATAGACAATTTGCTTATAAGAGTCGTCCACTTTCAAAGGGCCGGCACTGTACCAAGTTAGAATTTAAAAATTAATTTTTCGCAATCATTTTACTGTTTTTGAATGCATGAAAAAAAAATGTAGAGACAGAAGTTTTTGAATACGAGAAATTATAATAGATACTTTATTTATTTCGATTTATCTCCTAGAGGGCCCCACATAATCCATGTTTAGGACGTAGATGTGCGCTTAATTTTTTTACCCATAACGTTATCGCTTTTTTTAGTGAAAACTCTTAAACATATCTCATTTTCACAGAAAAAGGTATACTTGTCATTAGTCTTAGAAGTTGACCGGTTTCGAAATAATCGCATTTCAACAATCAGCTGCATAATTAATTTCAGCAAATGTTTTACGTATTGGTCCGAGATGCCAACACAAATTTTCGCAATTAAACATTATTCTTTTTTGTATATTATCACAAGTATTATAGTTAATATATTTTAGTAAATTCTCCTGCTTAAGCAAAAAAAACTGCCAGCCGACAGGACAGGCATTAAGTTGCTGCTAGATACGTATAATAAACAATAAGGGTCCAAGAACGCTACCCTGGGGCACACCCATATCTCAACATTAAAGTCCGATGATCTTGTACCATAAAATTCATTAAGTAAACTGTTTGCTACTTTAAGATAACATCTTAACACTACATTAACCACGAAGACCATAACAGCCCACCCTTTTTAGTAGAATATCATGGTCTACGCAGTTAAAAGCCTTTGATAGATCCAAGAACACAGCTAACACACTATTTCCCCTATCCAAGTTACCATATATACAGGGTGTTTCAGGATTAAGTCGACAAACTTTAAGGAGATATATCTCATAAAAAAAATAAGAAAAAAATCAAGTATAATTTTTTTCCAGAGACGCTTCATTTTCGAAATATAGGGCGTTAAAGATTTTTAAAAAATTGTTTTAAATGACTTCTAAATGACTCTTATAGTTTCATGGCAAAATTGATTTTTCGGAAGGGTGCTTCTGGATTCTGTCGATAAACTTTAGGAAGACGTTCTTCATAAAATCTAAAGAAATATAGTACCTATTAAAATTGGTCTTAGTCTCGAGTATGTGTGAGTCAAATAAGCCTTTTTGTCTCCCCTTCCCTTGGGTTTAACCAATAGTATTAAAATTATTTATACCTAGACAAAGCGTAAAGTGAATCAAAAATGAAATGATGGTTCAAAATGGGCGCCTCCGGACTGTAAAAAAGCACGACATCTATTATGGAGGCAGTGGCCGATCGACACTGAATTGGAGTTAATTCTCGACACGCTTGGACTATTCGCTGTCTTACATCTTCTAGGGTATCAACTGGCACCTCGTAGACTTTTTGTTTAACAGCACCCCAAACGAAATAATCCATCGGTGTCAAGTCCGGTGAACGTGCGGGCCACGCTGCAGGTCCTCCACGACCAATCCATCTCCTGGGATAATTAATGTTTAACCACTCCCTAGGACCTCTACCAAAATGGGCAGGACAACCATCTAGTTGAAACCAACTGTTCATTCGAGTATTAAGCGGAACATCTTCTAACAGATCTTGAAAACCATTTTCAAGGAACTTGGTAAACATGTCAGCATTTAACCGATGCGGAAGGAAATAAGGACCAACTATAGTGTTGTCCAACACACCGAACCCTACGTTACATTGGAATTCATGCAGAAAACTATGTTCCCTTACCGCCCGTGGATTCTCATAGGACCAAATATGGTTGTTCCTTTGGTTTAAAATTCCCCTTCGAGTAAATGTTGCCTCATCTGTCCGCATTACTTTTTGCGTAAACTGATCATCATTCTCTGCTTGGTTTAACACCCAGTCACAAAACACACGCCTGCATTGTATGTCCTGAGGCAATAAATGTTGCACACGCTGGATATGGTACGCATGGCGTCCATCAGCCCAAAGAGTCCTCCAAATGGAACTTGACGAAATACCTAGCTCATAGATAGATGACGCTCATGGATGGATTTTCATCGAAATGGTTTAAAATAGTATTCGATCTTACTTCCTGAAGTGGGGCAAACTGTCCATCAGCATAAATTGGAATACCGAAAGACCCAGTTTGTCTGAGACGACTGAATGTCGTTGAAAATGTTTCCTTTGCTGGTAGCCTGCGATGAGGAAATCTTTCTGCATATTCACGGCCGCCGTGGCATTTCCATCACAAAAACCATATACAAAGACCATATCACCATATTCGTTGTTCGAAAATATGGACGGCATTATTCAACTTATTCTTATTATTAGTTTGAGCGGTTTATTGTTACACTTATCAGTTCAAATTTTTTTTGGGCACAGCTGAAGGGGCTAACGGCAGCTCATTGGGCGGAGTGCAGTTGGGCCGTAGTCCGCTTTTGTTTTTCCTGATGTTGGATATCTCCACTCTTGTTAAATTGGTTTTTAGTTTCGGGAAGAAACGAGAAATGTAAATGAAAAATGTTAATTAGGGCGCCAACCTACTAAATAAAGTCTTAATTATTTTCGTTTCCTCCCGATACCCCAGTAGGTATGGGACGGGAACAATATAAGGGTACAGAAACAGGTTACAAAAAAAATTAAAAAAAAAGCAGAACACTACTGAGTTTCAAATTTTTATTCAACCCTCACCCGTAGTTCGTGGTGGCTGCGACGACGGTGGAGGTGTCTTACAGTCCTCTCGGGTTATGTAGTCTCATCTCACACTCGACTTGTTGCAATGGTTACCTAAGTTGCGTTCTAGTTGCCTGGGTTTTCAAACTGGATATTAGAGGTCCTCAATTTGACAGTTTGCCTTGGCTTATGGCATTTACTGTGGTTTATTAGTACTATCTTTAATGAGTACTAGCTGTGACTGTAATTAGTACTAGCTTTGATTATCATTAGCTGGCTGGTTTCTAAAACGCACCGTGGGAAAAAAAACACCTAATTGGTTCTAGATAGATATTTGGGGAAACGTGCTTACTCACTACTAAAATATATTTACAGACTATGTACAAATCTATGAACATCTGAATTTATCTACATAATTATTGGTATAATTACCGTTTCACGGTGTAGGATGATGTGGATTCAACGTGATTTTGCACAAAATGGCTGCTTTAGCTCCAAATCACTAGAAACTGTTAAGACTTTTCACCAGCCACAGAGTCAGAATGGAAAATGGCCAAACAGGGCCTTGTCCCTAGCTTTTAAGAACTGTGGTTCCAAAAAAATACAATCGTTATAATTGGCTCTCACTCCGTACTAAACTGGTTAAAACTTTATACAATTAAAAATCCCTACTTTTGTATAAATATAATTGTTCTTTAATATCCTATCTATTTGTTCAGTGTTCATAGGTTCTACTTCCCAAATATCTTATTTAGACTATGGTTCTATGACTTCTATGAAATTGTATTTCGTGTTTTATGCAACAAGCGGTGTGTGATTTCAAAAACATTTTAAGGTTAATCTTAAAATTAAGTACATTGTTGTTGATGGTTATAATGCTGGAAATAAATGTTTTTATACCAATATGCCTTAACAAACTACGTATTTACAATATACAGGTGGTGTATCTAAGCTAAGATATTTACAGAGTATGCATCTCAAGGTTGTTGTTATTTAAACAATATACGTAAGTACGGTGAATTCATATGGTTATAACTAGTTCCTAAAGACCTACACTTTCAGAACTACACATAACATCCAAAAGTACGTGTACTGGGTGTTCATATGGCTGCTACATTAAATTACACCTGTGGAAATGTGTGTGGAATATTGTGACATCTCTGTCGAATAATAGAAGATGTTACATTATCTAATGGATAATTTATGCAACAATTCGCAAAATAACATTTAAAACGTCAAATTAACATTGCTTGACAGCAACCTACTCGAAAATTTTTGTTGAGGTTCATTTTAATGTTTATCGACAAAATCCAGAAGCACCCTTCCGAAAAATCAATTTTGCCATGAAACTATTATAAGAGTTAGGAAAAAAGTGAATGTACACTTTTTGTCAATAACAAACTGTTCTATCTAAAAACAGCATCATTTTTTATTTTCAGTAGGGTCGTATTAATTTTTTTTATAATTTAATGAGTCTGAGTACCCATTACTCCGCCACTGGTTGCTTGCGGGACTTCTACTTCTATGGAAAAATGGTATCTTATAAGTAGATGTGTCATGCCAAAAAAAATTTATACTTGGTGTTTTTCTTATTTTTTTATAAGCAATATCTCCTTAAAATTTGTTGACTTAATCCTGAAACATCCTGTATAATGCAAAATTCCAGTAGTACAGTGTTTGTTGAATGTTTTACTCTAAAACTGTGCTGATTTGAAATAAGTATATTATATTGACCTAAAAAGCTTGTAATTCTTCTGGCAATAATTTTTTCAAATATTTTAGAAAATGTCGATAACAGTGCAATTGGCCTGTAATTACGTAAACCAGTCGCAACGCCTTTTTTCGGTAGACATATTATTTTGCAGACCTTGAATAAATTTGGAAAACACCCTGCCTGAAAACAACAATTTAGTATATGTGTTAATGGCTTCGCGATAAAATGAGCACATTGTTTAATAATTTTAGTTAAAAAGTCATCACAGCCTGTTGAATTGGCGTTCTTCAAATTATTTATTACATC